TTGAAATTTGTAGCAATTTACAAGTTGGAGTTAAGCTGATTCCTTATCTTCACTTGTTGAAATTTGTAGCAATTTACAAGTAGAGGTTAAGCCGAGATTATTCCTTAATTCACTTGTTGAAATTTGTAGCAATTTACAAGTTGGAGTTAAGCTGATTCCTTATCTTCACTTGTTGAAATTTGTAGCAATTTAAAAGTTGAAGTCAAGCCGAGATTACTGTTTTTCTTCACTTGTTGAAATTTGTAGCAATTTACAAGTCGAAGTGAAGCCGAGGTTATAGTTTGCAACTTATAACAATCTACAGGTTGATCCAACCAAAGAAAATGCTTAACACTTGTTGAAATTTGTAGCAATTTACAAGATAATGTTAAGCCGACATGTGATCATCCGTTGAAATTTACAGCAATTTACAGGTTGAGGTAAAAGCTAAGTATATTGTTTAAACACTTGTTGAAATTTGTAGCAATTTACAAGTAGGTTAGACCGAGATCACTGTTTAAATACTTGTTGAAACTTGAGAAGAAGCTTGCAAAGTTAAACATTGAATAGTATATGTTAAACACTTGTTGGGATTTATGAAGAGTTTGTAGGTCTGTATCTTGCCGAAGTAAAACGTTATTGTACCCGAGGTACGTAACCCCGAGAAGATTGCACAAAGGAGGCAAAATGGGAAGGCATGCAAAAAATTCCAAGTATAGAATAATACAGACGCAATCAAGAGAAATTAAAGATTAAAGCGTTCAGACGAAAACAGTTGCAGTTGTATACAAAGAAGGCACTACGGCCAACCAGAAATAAAGTTGTATTCAACAGAAGCAGAAGATACATCAGCTAAATAGAAGAGCTTACATTGTTTCAAAACCAGAAGTACAGAAAAGCTTATATTATCCAAAAAACAAAAAGAGTACGGAAGACATCCAAAGTTATCATTCTTTAATTTCATGAGCGATTTGGGTCTAGACCTCGGCAGATTCCTGGGGAACTACTGCAGCCATCTCGGCATCAATCTTTGCAAGCGTTCTGTCAAGACTTCTTTCAGCTAAGAGAAGGTCGAAAGATAATTGCCCTGTAACAGTTTCCCTGAGTGCCTCCCCAACCTCATCACCCTCTTCATCCAAAGTTAAGTGCATGACTTGCTCAGTTGGAGGAGGGGACTTGGCCTCAGCAGCATCCTTGGATTTCCTCACCAAGGCCTCATCATCATTGTTATCCTCATCCTCGGCTTCGGACTCAGACTCAGATTCTTCTTCGACCTGACTTGGAGATGGAAGAGGGGGAAATGGGAGAGGAATAACATCGGCATTGCGGAAAAGCGAGTCAACAGGGAGATCAAGTTTTTTTATCAGGGACATCCAACCAAGGGAAAATCCCCTGTTGCATGCCTGCCTGACTTGAAGCTTGTAATCCTCAGTGACGTCGGCCATGCCCTGAGCATATGCCTTCTCATCAGCCTCTTTGATTTCGGCTTCCTTTGTGGCCAAGGCTTCCTGAAGTTCCTTCTCGGCCTGGGCCGCTCTCGCCTCGGCCTCTTTCTTTTGGGATTCAGCAACTGTCTTGATGGCCTCAGCAGATTCGGTCTTTTCCTCGGCTAAGGTTTGGGCTTTGGTGGCAGCCTCAGCCTGGTCTTCCAGCTTTTTCATTTTTGAAAGAAGAGTTTTGTTATCCTTTTTGAGGGCAGAAACCTCCCTCCTCAGGTCGACCAACTTCTCTCGATTCTGGAAAGATTGCATTGAAAATGAGTGGGCATGCTAGATGGCCTAAAAAAAAAAAAGTGTTAGAAAATATTTTTAAGTACAAAACAGAATGGAAGAAAAAGTACCGAGCAGGAACACTTACTTGAACAGAGTGCTGGAGCATTAGGGCATAGTTTTCATATTCACTATACCCGGCATTCCGCTCCAAATCACCAGGAAGGAGCAGCGCCGTAGTAAGGGCAACGCCGACATTTATGTCATCTGCGCTTTCATTGGTCATTATGGGCCTATCTTCCAGAGTAATCTGGGGAGCCCAAGGAACATCAGATTTTTTGGACCCCGAGGTCGTCGTAGACGATGACCTCGGCTTCTTGGGTTGAGTAGATTGTGATGGCTGGGATTCTGCACGCCTCTTCCCAGCGGAAGGTTGAGATTTGCTGCTTTCAGCTAGCTTGGAGATGGGTAGAGCATCCTCAGCCTCAACCTCAGTAGCCTTGGCCTTAGGCTGGGCCTTCTTAGTTCTTTTTGGCTTCGGTGGGGGCAAAGGTTGGGTCGGAACAGCATCGACGTCGGTTGGAAGGTCGGCTAGGAGATCTTGGGCAACAGGCTTCAGGCGACCCATCTCAGCAGTTTTTACGAGTCTTCGCCGACGTTTTCTTTCTGGAATGGGGATTAGGTATGGGCCAGAAGTTGATGGTTGGTCGGCTGGATCAGAGGTTGACCCTTGGTCAGCCCGAGATGTTGATGCTGTTTGTAGAGTGGTAGCAGAGGGAGGAGATAGGCTCTTCTTCTTTCTTTTTGGGACGTCGGGCGGTGTGGATTTGTATGTGGGAATAAAATTCAATAACAGGGGAGCCTTGCGCTTGTGGATTGGAAGATCTAGAAGCTTCTTTAAATCTTTTCCAGGAAGAAGGATTGGCGGAAGTTTTTTGGTGGCTGATGAAGATCTGCAGGACAAACAAACAAGACATTAGAAATAGAAAGTTTTGAAGACTTGGAAAAGAAATAACTAAGTATTGGCGCTGGGCTCTTACCCTTGCCCTCTTTAACTGTTCGAGGAAGAGGTTAGAGGTGAACATCTTCGTCTGGACCAAATTCCCAATTTCCTGAAGCAATGACAAAGTCATCCCCGGCTCCCTTGTTGGAGTCCGGGAGGACGGCTACAATTTTGAATTCAGTAGACCTCGGCTTGAGGTAGTAGATGTAACCTTTTTCCTTCAGGTTAAAGGGGCACATGGTATAACAATATTGTATATCGGCAACGGTGATCCTAACATTCTCCTGCCTAGCCAGGGCTATGATACCATTGATCACTCGATAAGAGTTTATGGCAAGTTGCATAGTGTTCAACTTGTAAAAATGAAGAATTTCGCGAAAAAGAATGTTAAGTGGGAGCCGGAGTCCGCACTCAGTAAAGGCTACTATAGGAAAGGGCATTGAATGATCTGTGGGCATGATAGAGTCATTATCTTCAGCTAACCTCAGATGGACATCGGCAGGAATAGAGAACTCCCGCCTAAAGTACTCAAGTTTGGTCGGGGTATCTACCCTATGTCTCCACATACCCATAACGTCGGCCTAAAGACAGAGTGCTAGGTTTCAGAAAGAAGGTGTTCTTAAGGGGTTAACGGGACCTCGGCGAAACCCTAGGTATATGCTGGTAAGGATTGTTTCAGTTTTCCCTAAAGATTGAAGGTTCTATAAACAAAACCCAAACCTAAATCTATGAAGGCAAGAATTAAAGGCAGAGATCTGGAAAACAACACAGGAAACAAGAAACAAAGAATGACGTTTCAGAATCAAGAACAGAGGTATGGTTCTTAAAAGCGACAGAAATACAGAAGTAAAAGGTCAAGAATAGTGGCAAGAAAAGTATTAAACAGTACAAAGTGTTCAAGATATGAGTAAAATCATGGAAAAAACGCATCCAGATGAATAGTTCAGCAAATCAAAGGATTGAACAGCGCAATAATGGCAGTAAGTAAACGAAAACACATAAAAGAAATTGGGAATAAGAGGAACAGAGGCTTACCAAAACAAATGAAGCCGGAATGGAAGTCGCCGAGGTAAGGCAACGGTTGCAGACAAGACGGAGTGGCGAAAGCTTCGCTGGAATGGAAGAATGAAGGCAGTTGCAGAGCTTGGAGCTTGAGCAATGGCGGGTTTGAGAAAGTTTAGAGAGAGAGAGAGCCAGAAAATCGAATGCAAAAGTAAAGAAATGAAGATGGAGAGAAACGTTTTGTAAAAAACTTGAAACGGTGGCAAAAAGCAGGGCATTTATTACGCCTAGAGCAACGCACACGTCAGACGGCGCAGATGGGTGAAATACAGTTTTCAGGCGCGTCACAGACACGAGCCAATGAGGATAAAGCACGTGAGGGGAACGGTTGAGAAAAGGTGCATGACAGCTCATGCGCGTGGAGGAGTTCGTTTGAGTTCTTGTTTTTTGATGAAGGCATGTCGGCCTAGAATGAATGATCTCGGCCGAAGAATTCTCACGCCGAGGTACTGAAAGAAAATACAGATATAGGTTCCATCACCTCAGAATACCGAGGTAATAGAACCTAGGGGGCAGTTGTGGGGATGTATTTTCTGAATACCAACACGTGGCATGGTGATGCCGATGTGTTAGCCGAGGTGCCACGTGTCCTGGTAGTTCTGCTGAGGTTACCCAGGCAAGGCCGAGGTAATCTCCGAAGATATCGGAATCCGAGATAAGCGGATAAGGGACAAGAGTCCTAGAGTAAAGAGAAGACTTTGCTAAGATAAGGATAAAGCTCTTGGGGAGTTTATCTTTATCTCTTGAAGTATCCAAAGTTGACATTGAATTGGAGTCCATAGAAGTCAGACTTCTAGTGGGACTTGGATTTAGTAAACTATAAAAGAGAGGCACCCCCGTTACACATACTATGTTAATTAGAAAAATATGACATTAGAAAAAGTGAGAGAATCATTTTTTAACTCCCATGAAATTGTTCATACTCCTCAAAAACCAATTAAACAATGTCAAAACAATTTCAAGGGGACATGTCGGCCTACATTTCTCCTCTAATTCGGCCAAAGGTATAATTCTACATCCATTAAATATCATACATGATGAAACAGATCTTTCACATTTAGATTCTCTCCATTACTAGAGTTCCATATATTAATGTTCCTTCCATAATCTTTAATTGCTTATTGATTGCATTTCTTATCCCAAAAATTGAAATTGAAAAAAAATAAAGTCCAATGAGAAGGGAAAAAGAAACATAGTTGTTGAGTTATAATTAATAAGATCCTATGCTATTCTGAATACTGAAGCAACATAGTTGTTGAGTTATATTAATATTTTAAGTAATTGAGAAGCAATGAGCCTAATCCTAATTTCTTTCTTCACAAAAATTACCTTGCTGTGGTGAAACGAATTTCTCCATGTCAACGACCAACATATTGGGCTGCAAATATTGTGAAGACTCAAAATCAAAAGTCTATATAACTAAATAATCAACTGCTAATGTCTTTGAGAAAATACAAAAAGAGAGCCCAAACTGTCTCAATGGAATAATGAAAACACTAAAACACTACAAGGGAGTATCAAAGTCTAGAGAAATTCACCTCAACTAGTGTCTGCTCAAACGCAACAGCGAGAAGCTTATCCTAATCAACAAGAAAGATTTAATAATAAAAAGAAATTAGTAAGAGATAATGAGAGAGACGGGTCGAAGTAATCGTTGCACATGAAACATGACAATAACTTACCAACCATCCAGCAATCCCTGGAAGTTCTGTAACATCAAGCCCATGAGTGAAAATAGGTTTCACTCAAGGACAGCAATTAATCGTATTTAGGAGGGTAGACTCGTACCACAGTCCATGGTTTGTACTTCTCCAAGAACCAAGGTATGATAGGAAGGAGAATTTTCTGTGAAACAATGGGCTCCATACAAACAGGCCAAATCTTTTCAACCGCATGGTTCAACCACCGCACAGTTTCAGAAACAAAGAGTACCTTTAGAAAAGTTATAAAAAAAAAAAGTTGAAATTATAAACATTTATACATATTCATACAGGCAAGAAAGTAAATTCTCAGAAGGAATCTCAATATCAGATTTCTGGGAGGAATTTGTGCAAATTAAAGTGAACAAATTTAAGCTTCTAGAATTGTCATTTCAATAGAACCATTTGGCCCAACTAGAATTGTCATTTCAATGCTATAGCACAGGTCCTTATAGGCAAACTAATTGAAAAAAAGAAGCAACAATTCTCACCAGTGATCAGCTACTCCAGGAAATGCACAAGCAAGATACCTAAGAATTGCATGACTGCAAAGCATATCAAATGCATAAGATAGTTAATATAAGCTTAATAACAGAATGTATAATTTAGAATGCTAAAAGAACAAAAAGATTGAAGAGCATCATCCCAAAAATTTGTTGATGCAGCAGTGACCAACAGTCTCTACAATTCATATATGAAAAAGAATACTAACGCTATGGGAATGTGCATAACAGTGTGTTTAATACCTAGAGTCCAAGTACTACAAAAACTATGCAAAGAACACTTGAACTAACCAGAAGCCATGGAGGAATAAGCAAACTAAACTTTGCATTTTGAGCCAATTCATACCATACATTCCGCACATATACAGGGACAGAAAAATTATTATTTCTGCATAAGATTTTGGAATTATAAAAAATATCAATTGGTCAAACCAGACCACAAAGTCCCAAGAATTACCCGTTTCAGTGCTTCTAGAATCAAATTTCTCAATTCCCCAGAGTAGTCCAATCAGAAGAAGAAAAATGACTCATAGCTAACCAAGAAGAAAAATGACTAAGAATCATTTCCTTCTATCTGAAATCCGTTTCTCTGTTGGCGCGGTCATAATAAATTTCTTTGGCTCCATTTGATGCTGTGGTACATTTACATTAGAAGATTTTTTGCAGTCCTTAAGAATGCTTTACAGTGTTTTGGCTTTATTTTTAAAAGTCTTTTAGAGGTGATTCACCAAAACAGCACTAATCAGTGAAGTAACAACTAAATGGAAATGTTTGAGAGAGGGGAAGATCTAAACTAACATGAGACGTGATATTAATGAAAGATATAAATTTATTTAATTTAATTAAGCATATAACCCTTAACAGAGCTGCATGGCGAAAAAGGTTCATGTAGCCGACCCAATTGATTGGGATACAAGACTTAGTTTGGTTTGGTTAGCAATTCAGTTGCTTTGGCAAAAAAAGAGGAAATGAAATCTTTTATCAACGTGCAGAAACAAAAAAGTACCAAAGATTTTTGCAACAATCTCTTCTTTTCAAATTCTTAATTGAAGCATTTTATTGGAAGCCACACACCGCCAAATGGAGCTTTAACTAATGATATGCAAATGATACAATACAAAGGAAATGAGTTATATCCACAGTCAAATAGCTTGTAACTCTTATACTACAAGGACAGCAAGACAAAAACCAAATAACTACAGCAAGGGAAGACCTAAAGATTAACTGGGAGGACCAGATTTACATGAAAAATGTGTCATCTTTCACAAAAAAAATGGATGAAGAAGTAAATAAGAATGAAACGGAATTTCTTGCATATTTCTTCCTTCTTTTTCTTTTTTTTTTTTGAAAAGTGACGAAGAATTTTATTAAGCAAAAGCTAGAAAAGGAGACGGGACAAGGAGTCCTCGGACAATGTAAAAGATCAAAACAAAAGCCACAACTAAACAAGAGTTGGTCAGGGAAAAAAGGTGAACTAAACAAAAGCCACAACTAAACAAGAATTTCTAGCATTACATTTATGCTAGAGGAGCAAAACTACGTATCTATTGGCTCCGTTTTACTGTAGCAAACGTCTTATAAAGGGAAAAAAGTGACATCCATGGTCACAACCCGGAAAGTAACAAAAGAATCCATAAGTTTATGTGCCCATGAGCAAGGAATCAAGAAAAACTTATGTCGAGTAACGATGACATAAGCATAAGTTCAAAAATCTATAGGTCCTTAATTTAGGTGAATCAAGAAAAACTTAAAGTGTCAAGTAAGGATGACATAAGCGGGAATAACTGACTTATAAGGCATCAGACCAAAGTACAGACGATATATGGAAGTTGTTCTGTCCCTTTTAATAACGCCTTGAATAGGAGAATCCCTCGGCCCAGGCTACATAGAAATAAGAAGCAAAATTGCTCAGTTAGAACAATATAATCATAACAATGAAATAAGAATAATAACAAACATATGAACAAAAGTCACCTGTTTCAATGAAATGGGAAAGGTCAGTCTCCCACATTCCTCTGGAGTCTTGACAATCTCCTTTGTAGTATCCCTCCATGATTTGCAAACTGATGCACAAAAGACAACATCGGTCCTTGCAGGCCAGGTTGTTTCGCTCTCTTCAACCCTCCGAATTATATTCAAAAGCAATTCCGGAGGCAAGTTAGCCCACTTTCCTTGTTCAACTGGCTCAGAAGGGGCTACATCAGGGGCAATATGTGATCGGGTTCGGTTACACCAGTGCTTGCCTTCCACCCTTCGTTTTGATAGACTCCCCATTCCATCTTTCATCTCCCTCAGCTCGCGTACAATGCTTTTGAAGGACATCTCACCTGAACATACCAATCAATCCTTTCCTTCAATTGTCCAGCTTCAACCACATCAAAAAAGAAAAGACCAAAAAAAAATAAAAAAATTTCCCTTTTCATTACCTGGTTTTTGTTATGTATTGTAATTATCTTGATTTCAAGGAATAAAAAAACAAAATCATAAAAATGTTTCAAAGAAATCAAGCTGCAAATGAAAACTACTTGAAGAAAATTGAAGCAAATTCACAAAATTGAACAAAGCAAATAATGTAGCATTACCACAAAAAAAAAAAAGAAAAAAGAAGCAGCTATAACATTTCTGTGAATCTCCCATCAAAAGAAAAACAGAAGGTGCGAACTTTCACAGTCATGTGTAACTTCTATGGTCTATTTATCGATCCATTTCTAACTTATCTAACGAATTGTTCTAGCAATTCAACAAAAATGCACACAACAAAGGTGAGAGATAAATCAATTGCAGCCTCAAAAATCCAACAGAATCAGCACAAATTACAGCAAACAAAAAATTTAATTAAAAAAAAATGAACATTAAGCACCAAAAACAAAAACAAAAAGAAATCAGATCCAGAGAATACCAAAAAAAAAAAAAAGAACAATCAAGCATTAATTACAGAGGAGAGAAGAAAATCACGAATTAACAGAACTCTGACCAGATCGGTAAGAGAGAAGTAGAGAATTCGGCGATTGAGACTCTGGAATGTTCGGATCGGAGATAATGAGAAGACAGCATACATAAACATACACAAACATATACAGAAGTTGATGAAAAGAGGTTTTTACTGAAACAAGAAGGATTCGAAGGAGCTTACCAACATATCTGATTCGAAACCCCCATATTTGGATCAGGTGTTCCTTGAAACCTTCAGATCTGGCTTTAATTAGTTCGAAATCCTTCAGATCTCGTCTCTTGTTCTTTTCTTCAACGAGCACCACCACCGCCATCCTCTTCCACCACTGTAGCTGTCGATCTGAGGCGATAATGAGAAGACAGCAGCGGCGGTGAGTATGGATGAGATCGGCCGAGGAGAGAGAGAGAGATGAGTCTGGTGATAGAGAAGAGTGAAAATGAGCGAGAGAGAAAAAAAAATGAAATCGAAATCAAAATCACTGAGCTTGATGCAGATCGACTCGATGCAGATAGGTTTACCTCTCAATAAATGAAATCGATTCTGAAGCTTGATGTAGATAGGTTTACCTCTCAATGATTTCTATGTAAATGGAATAGGTAAATAAATTAAATCACCGAGATGATTCCAATCGATTCCTATTCTGAAATCACTCTGAGATTTAAGGGATCACCGGGCTGAAGCGAGAGAGTGAGCGAGAGATTTGAGGCATCTTCTTTCTGAGACTGAGTAAAGAATGAGAGTCTCAAAAGCGGGAGAGAGAGGGTGTGAGATTATAACACAAATAACACATTCGGAGGCGTTTTCTATCAGCTAAACGGTGCCGTTTTGATTAGCACAAAAGGCGACGTTTATAAAACGCCGTTAAATATTAAAAAAGGCGACGTTTAAAAAAACGCCAATATATAAACTCCATTAAAACAAACATTTCTTGTAGTGAGAGTAAGAGCTGTTGCTCCAAAATCCCTTTGGGGTGTCGAATCACATTCATTGGAAAATGAACAAAAAAAAACTGAACCGGTCTTGATTTGCAGAAAGAAGTTTTGTCTACGCCTTCTGCTACACAAAGTTTCTCCAATACAGGTTTTAATTTCAAGGTACCAATTGGTTGCTTGTACTGTGAGGTTCCGATTATTTTTTTTTTTTTTCAATTGATTTTGTTATATGAAGTTTGTAGGTTCTTAACTTATTAATGAAATAGTATTTTTGTACATGGGGTGAGACTCTATACATCATACCTTTCTTAGATCTCGTAGTGGCGGGAGCATTACGCACTGGGGTGGTCTTTTAATTGTTCATCAAATGTATTTAATTTTGCTCTGTATTTCAGCAAAATTATAGATTTTTATCATGCTCATCAAACGAAACGGATAATTATCCAGTAATTCCTGAATATGAATACGTGGTATTCCATAATATTATAATTGGTGGAGAAGGTGGATAAGTGGGGTATTGTGTTGGGTGATTGGGGAACATGAGAGAACATATTGAATAATGATTGGTTAAGGAGTATAGACACTTAGTATTTCAGAAATATTAAATAATTTTCCATTGTTCAAAAAGATTGAGGTTGTTTTGAGAAATTGGTATTTTAATTTTTTACAAAAAGTGTAAAAAATTAAAGAAAATGGTTGATTTTTTTTGGTGACGTTTTGATTTTTTTGACTATTTTATCATATTGCCAAAATAGGCAAGTGGGTGTTCGAAATTTGCTTTTTTGTTGGCTCATTTTTGTTTTTAGGGAATTTTTTTAAAATTTTTTGAGAAGTTTTATGTTTTTAGATTTTACTAGACTAGACAAATAGAAAAATTTAAAATTTAAAAAAAAAAATTAGAAAATACAAAAATAAACAAAAAATAGTGGCCTTTTTTTGTGGAATTATTTATTTATTTATTTTTTATCTACACAAAACAAAAGACCCCCCCCCAAAAAAAAAAATAAAAATAAAAATAAAATAGTACTAATATTGAAAAAAATTACTATAGACAAAAACATGCAACTTTTTTCCTTGTTTCCAAATAGCCATTACGAGAGTAACTCCAACTACACTCTCTATCTTTCACTAGCTAAAGTACGAAAAAAAAACACTTTTTATTTTACCTAATTACTTTAGTTATTGTGTTCTCCAACCACACTTTTTATTTTAGCTAATCATTCAAACTAACTTAATTAATTTTTAAAACAAAAAATACTTATTATTGATATTTTACTAATGTAAATTTGCAATAATAATAAATTTGCCCATACAAGCATACAAAACCTGTAGAATGAGGAGAAAAAAAAATACAAAATACAAAATAAGTTATTCCGTAATTCATCAAATGGAATTGAAAGAATATATAAAATTGCTACACACACATATACATATGTAAAATATATAAAATCCTAAATCCACGACATAAATATACAAAAATCAAAAACATATACATACATATTCGTTTGGAGAGCCTATGGGGCTCTTTAATTATAGCTAGCAAAAAGGTAGGATGGTAAAGTAGCTAACCCAATAGCCAACCTATTGGAGCCCAAAATTAGAGTTACATTAGCTGAAATACCTAACAAGCCTTTTTTAGCCATCCCCTTGGAGATGCTCATCATTCTAATGTGGTGTGTTTAACCAACAAAATTTTAAAGAAAATGTTAGGTAGAGTTTGGTTTGTTTTTGAATCGTGATTTTAACAAAGAAATTAAGTTATTTATTTATTTTTTTAAATTCATGAGCAAACACACAAAATTTAAAACTCAATTCAAAACTATTTTCATAACTAAACACACAATTCAAAAACTTTTTTCGAAACTCTTTTTAAAAAAAAATCAATTTTTGTTCTTTAAAATTATTTTTATTTTATATTTTTTGAAAAATATAAAATTTCAAAAAATATTTTGTTTATTTTTATTTTTGAAGAAAAATATATTTTTAAATTTTTTAAGAAAAATATTTTGTTATTTTTTTAAGTATTGGCTAAATAATTTGTTATGATTTAGATATATATGGGCAATCCATAATTTTTTTAATTAAAAAATAAATATTTAAAAAATTATAAAAAAAAAAATACCTGGTCACACAGTATACCTGTCTGAGGGCCAAATACTGATTTGCTGAAACCATGGCCCCTGCGCATCATCAATGCGTAGAAAGATATAAGCTCACAAATGCTGATTACGAAAGAAAAAAATAAATAAAAGAGAAAGAGACAAAACTGAATTACAGAATTTAGCAAAAAGACACCACACAACAGAGTTTTTGCATGCATTTGGTCCATGGGAGGCAAGAATTTCTATAACCAAACTGAAAAATGTTTTTGTTTAGTGGAACCATTTTCAAGAGCCTTCTATTGGTGAAGGCTTATGTAAACTATTAAGAGACAGCTTAAGCTTCTAAAGAGAAATTATGGTGAATTGACCATCTGAAGAGACAACAAGGTGCTTCATTGGGAAAGCGTTGCTTCCACAAAAATAAAAAAATATGTTAATTGTTTAATACATTTGATCTTTATAAAAAGCAACATAAACATGTCCTTAAACCAAAATAATAACATGTATGTGCTCATCTTAACAACCTGCCCACGAACAAAATAAGACCAACTTGTGCAACCGCAGATCTCTTTTGAGAAAAAGACAAAAATCAAGTATTTAGTCCACTAAATCAGCCAACTTAATCAATCAAACCAGAAATGATTACGAAGATACATCCACCCATGACACAACTTAACAACTTCAAGAACATATTCAATCAAATCGCAAAATGATTTTTATTTTTCCATTGACCTCAAATACTCTGCATATTAAAACATACGAAGTAAGAAATTACCAAATGTTCTAAAGTATGAACACAAATAGAGCACATATACAGATTCTTTTGGCCCATCAAGTAACTTCATCATTTAGTTGTCAAGCCTTTCTGAAAATCAACAATAAAATTCTGCTCTCAAAGAGTTTATCGTGCAAAGCATATTAAGCAAAAAATAATAATTTAATTTTTTCCTCAATTCTGAAACTAGTTTACTCAAATTGCATTCAATATGCCAGTATCACTTGTGTTCAACTTAAAATCTCAACAACCTGTAGCAGTACTACATTTCATCGTACTAGAAGGTGAGGCACACACTGTGTGCCAAATTAACAAAATATAATATATATATATATATATAAAATAGTTGTAACTATTTGTAAGTGGAAAGTTAGGTTTTACTTTTGAAAAATAAAAGTCCACAAAACTTCATGAACACCAAATTGGGTGCTGCCTCTATATATATATATATAAGTATATAGCTAACATTTGTTTCTATTTCAACAAGGTACTGCTAAGGACAAAAAAGATATGATGGGACTTAAGGCTTAGTTTGGTTTGGTTTGGTTTATATAAATACTTTACATGGAAGAATTTCTTACTTCACATGTGCTTCTTAGCTTATGATAAAATTTCTGGGTGCTAGCAGAAGAACAACACATCTATCAAATGACATATTAAGAACAAAGCCATTAGATCAATTGAGGGACTATAGGGAATAGAACATGCATTTAGAAGTATGGGATGTAACATACGATAACAGCTGGTACATAGAGCTAGGCCGGGGACTAAATGCAATGGCAGTAACAGCTCCTATATGTCCACGCAAAACTTAAATAGGAAATCCATCTGGCAAGCGCCACTGTTATACACAAGAAAAAACTATTAGGTCACCAAGGGATAAATAGTATGACAGATTTATATTTCAAGTGTAAATTGGAAAGAACCCTTACAACTCGAATGCTGTAGTCATTTGAAACGGATGCCACCAAAGCATTGTTTGAACTTACAGCCAAGTCAGTCATGTCACCCTTTCAGTAAAATTAAGAAGAGTAGACAAGTTACACAAGGAATGAAAATGGAGTTCCATCCAAACAAACTGAATGTGGCAATATATAAACTATTAATGTTGTGCTCTAAAAGCCAATATCTGAGATGTGGTTGGGACAATTTCGTAAAACAGTCCTATTTAACTAATTATAAAAGAGCAAATTTTATTAACATGTCTACTTTGTGTGTGTGCATGTGTTTTTTTGTTTTTTTTTTTTGATCGGTAAAAGTCAAAAGGCATGGCGGGATAGATAGATAAACATTTGAATGGTAAAAGTCAAAAGGCATGGCGGGATAGATAGATAAACATTAATTTGTTTCTCAGTACGTATACTGATTAGCAGAAAAATAGGGAGCAACAAACAGCAAAAATTTTAAATAATAATAATACTAACATTGTTATCCAAAAGAATAATTAGAAGCTAATATATATGATTTTTTTACAACTACTGCCACCAAAGAACCACCTAAGAATAACTCTACCATTTGAATGAATGGAATTCCCAAAACCACACTAGTGAAATATGGTTAAGGATAAGAAGATTATCACAATAAACAACATCCCTATGTCCCCTTAGTCTCTTTATGTTTTGCATCTTTTGCACCATTGTTAAGGGTTTAGCAACAGTGTAACAAGCAAAGTGAAGAGATGGAGCACGATGGTGTTTTGGAAAACCACCTCCGATTTCTCTCAAACTTAGTCCACGCACCTGATCAGCCTGCATGTGAGGCTGCTAAGATACATACATACCCAGCTGCAGCAACCACATATTCACAGCTAGAGGCAGAGCCATCACTGCAGAAGAAGTCAGCATTGATATCTTGTTCATCACAATTCTGTTTTCCTAAATGCTCTTCAGAAAATATTTGTAACAAACATAGCTACAGTTGTAATGTTTG